CTTTCTGAACTGAGTACATTAACCATGAACATCTTATTTTTTCGTCATTTGCCATGGTTCGATAGAAATGAGTACTTGTGAACCTCCGTCTTTCCTCGTTAAATGGAAATTCGTAACTTTCATTCTGCTGCGGTGGGCCACATGCAACAATGTCACACACTTGCCTGTCCGATATTATAGACGGCCAATCTCCTGGATCATCAGTCAGTGGTTCAGATTCAGATACTTCTTTCCCGGCAGCAGCTGGAATATCTGTCACAGTTTGTTTGGTAGAACAACTGGCTTCACCTTCGACCTCACTTGAAGCACTTCTGGATATTTCTGGATACGATTCGTTGCTGCTAGCGCTGTCCGTTTCATGTGCCTGTACCTGTACGTTGGATTGCAGCGCAAAATACGTTGACAACTTTGGAATTTTCTCAAGTTCCTTCTCGGCATCTTTTGCTGCCTTTCGTTTACTAGCTCCGCTCTTATACGTTCTCTTAGACATCACAAAGCACACTTCTGCGTTGGAAACGAATCGTTTCAAACGATAAAAAATTAAACAACTAAATTAATAACATTTATCCGCCGACCGCCATTATGAACGCAAATACACATTCTTTAAATGGGTCCAACTAAAATTCCAAACTGACCGACAGACAACTGATGTAGCCAATAGCATTATGACGTATCATAATGACTTCACGGTTTTGTCAGTAAAACCGACATGGATTGTGCAATAGCGTCAATAAATGTCACTTACCTAGTTATACCTTATATATTTTTTGCCACTTTTAGGGGCCCCCTTCCCTTGCGGGGCCCCCTCCGGTTGGAGGATAGGGAGGGCGCTCGCTATGGCTCTGCCCCCCCCCCACGTGAGCAGCCTTTAAGAGTGCTGGCTTAGGAGGAACTGCCCTGGGCCCGGGTCAGGGTGCACACAGCTGATGCACGCGGTGTGAAGTGACACAAGCGAGGGCTGAGCTTGCTGGAGCAGATGCATTTTGCCTGCGCTGCCCCTAGCCGGCGGCCTCGGTTTCCTTGAGTCGCATCCTTTTCTCCTCGCGTTGGTTTTGCAGCTTTCACTCCTCGCTGCTGAGCGCCCCTTTCCCTGGAGACGAGCCCCCTTCTCCCCTCCTTCACATGCCTTCCATGATGTCAGCACGGCGGGGAGGGGAAGGGAGGGGGGGAGCTTCCTTAAACCTCCCATTACCCAGCCTCCTGCAGCCATCAATGAGAAGGCAGCAAACGGGGAAACAGGCAACGGCTTTTACTAGCAAGAGCCGGGTCTATTGTGCGTCTCCTTCAGCCTGCCAGGAGATGAATGGCAGGAGGCAATACAGATCTTGTGCCATGGCAGGGCTTGGCCCCTTGAATGCCAAGCTGGGGTCCTGAGTACACATGGCTCAGCGACTGGGGGAATAAAGCAGCAGATCGGGGCATACTGCAGGACTTCTTGCCGTCTCTTTGTTATCGCTATTTCCCCTCAGCGTTATGGGCAGAGGTTTTGTGCAATGAATGTTGCCTCCAAAGCTTTTCTCCGAGCGAATATGGGCACAGCTGTATCCAAAAGGAAGACTCTGAGGAATGATGCTATGTCTTCTGTAGCAGCGAAAGTTAGGTGAGTGATCACCTCTGTCTAGACAAGTTTATAGCAAGGGTGGGATAAAAATAACTACCCAAGAAGATTCTGGCAATGCTGGGAAGAAAACAATGCCTTGCTCAACGAAATGCCAATTCAATGTGATACCTGGGGTGTGCAGTCTAACTGGGCTAACTGCATTACACATGTCAGCATAGAAGCAATCTGGGCATTTGCAGAGGGCAGGGTGTGTGTGTGAGGGGGCATAATGAGACTCAATATTGCAGGTGTTTGCATTTGTCTCCTCTCTTTCTTTCCGGTGAAATTCACCAGGCGAGTAGTGCTCGAACATGCAAACATTTTAGATGCCTCATTGTTTTTCCAGACAAGGTAATATCTCTGCAAAGCAAACTAAACTGACAAGACAATCAGGCTGGTTTGTGTGGGTGAGGAGAGAATAAGATGCTGGTTTCCTTGCTCCCTTTAACTTAGGCTGACCTGCAGGCTCCAGTGGAGAATACTGCTTATTTATTTTTAGCTTTATTCTGGCTTTCCAGTGGGTTTAAATAGCAAATGACATGAGGTGTAAGGAACCATCTGCTTAGCGGGAGGCCTGTCAAAAAAAATCACTCATGGGGAATAACACAAACAAATCTCAAGTAATTAATGGCATTGATTTGCAATCAGGAAATCACATTTGGTATATGAACTTTACATATATAATGACATAACTTTTTGTGTTCCTCAGAAACACCCTGTGGGGGCAAAATCTCACTGTCCCTTTGGTTACTGTATGTGTGAGTGAATACCTCAGGACTAATAAACAGTGCAGTTCATGCTGCATTTATTATGAGTGCATTAAGCTAATAGAAATAATCTCTCTCTCTCAACAGTCCTTCTGTAGGTAATGTAACTAATGGCTAGTTAGAGTAGGAACATTGTTCAGTAGAAACTACATTGTACCTCTGCATTCTAGAAATGCTGAGATATACATGCCATATACGTATGGCTAATATTTGAAAAATGTCTAATATATGATAAATATTTGCTTATCCTGTACAAAACAGAAAGTTCACTCCTAAATGTCTGACATGCATGATCATACCATGCAATTCTCTCAAGTGTCGTATAACTGTTTTCAAATTAACAACCTTCAAAGAGTTAATTCATCTGTGAAGGTTCTACCCAGGGCATATTCCCCAGTTCTGCTAGCATCAATTGGTATTGCTCATTATGCCCTCTGCCAAATGCCAGCCCCACTGAGGCAGGGGTTTAATGCTTTAATGAGCTAGTCATCAGAGTGGATCCTTTCAATCCTTGTAAATGGCAAATACTTTGAATTTGCCTAGTTTGATTTGCATCTGAATGTCTGACCACACAGCTGGTGGTAGCTTTCTCAGTGAGGTGATCTCCTGTAATAAAAAAGCCATCCTGTGAAAAGTCAAACCTACCAAATATCCCCATTTATTGGAATGTCTCAGGCCATTACTTTTACCCTTTGAAAGGTTTTCTTTTCTTAGTACTTGATCCATGCTGTAGAATTTGGGTGTATATTGCCCATTCCTGTTACCTTTTAATATGGTAAAACTTATGAGGAAAGATTAATAAAACTGGGAATTTTCAGCTGGAAAAGAGACGACTAAGAGAGATACAATACAGGGCTATAAAATCATGACTGGTGTGGAGAAAGTAAATAAGGAAATATTATTTACTCCTCCTCATAACACAAGAACTCGGAGTCGCCAAATGAAATGAATAGGCAGCATATTTAAAACAAACAAAAGGAAGTATTTCTTCACACAATGCATAGTCAACCTGTGGAACTCCTTGCCAGATGATGTTGTGAAGGCCAAAATAGGGTTCAAAAAAGTCTAGATAAGTTCATGGAGGATAGGTTCATCAATAACTATTAACCAGGATGGACAGGGAGAGCCTCTGTTTGCCAGAAGCTGGGAATGGGCAACAGGGGATGGATCTTTTGATGATTACCTGTTCTGTTCATCCCCTCTGAAGCATCTGGCCTTGGCCACTGTCAGAAGACAGGATATTTTGGTTTGACCCAGTGTGGCCGTTCTTATGGCTCCTGGGAGATCCTGAAAAACTTCTCTGTTGCTTGATGGGACTTGGGATTTTTTTTTTTAATATAGATGAGCTTCACATCTTAAACTGACTGTGGAATATTGGCCATGAAGATGGCAGAGAGCTGGCTCCATCCCTGCTGTGTGGCAAACACAGCTGCAGCCCTCTAAAGATATTTTCCTTTTGCTTCTTAGTGGCTGCTGGGCTGATATTATATGGACAATCATAGAGGGAATAGGTCCATTAGTAGCACTGGCTGCTTCCCCAGTCTTAGCCGTTCACTGCTAAGCAGATTGGAGGAAGTGAACTTTTCATATGAACCCAGGGGGAGGCTCTTTTTGCTAGAAAAAATTATAGCCGAGTTCTCTGTAGAGCTCAGTCGATGCTGCACTGACAAATAGACTTAAAGCAACTTGTCACTCTGAAGCTCTAAGGCATAACATTAAATCCCAATGATGGTAATAGTGGGGTAAGAAGAGAGGAAGTGATGTAGTTAGAAATGGACATGCAGAAGGCAATATAGTTCAGATTATTTTAGGGCTGTCAAGCAATTAAAAAAATTAATTGTGATTAATCACACGATTAAAAAAATTAATCACAATTAATCTCACTGTTAAACAATAATAGAATACCATTTATTTAAATATTTTGGATGTTTTCTACATTTTCAAATAGATTGATTTCAATTACAACACAGAATAAAAAGTGTACAGTTCTCACTTTATATTTTTGATTACAAATATTTGCACTGTAAAAAACAAAAGAAATAGTATTTTTCAGTTCACCTCATACAAGTACTGTAGTGCAATCTCTTTATCATGAAAGATGAACTTACAAATGTAGAATTATGTACAAAAAATAACTGCATTCAAATGTAAAACTTTAGAGTCTACAAGTCCACCCAGTCCTACTTCTTGTTCAGCCAATTCCTCAGACAAACAAGTTTGGTTACAATTTGCAGGAGATAATGCTGCCTGTTTCTTGTTTGCAATGTCACCCGAAAGTGAGAACAGGTGTTTGCATGGCACTTTTGTAGCTGGCATCGCAAGATATTTACATGCCAGATGTGTTAAAGATTCATATGTCCCTTCATGCTTCAACCACCATTCCAGAGGACATGCTTCCTTGCTGATGAGGGTTCTGCTCGATAACGATCCAAAGCAGAGTGGACTGACGCATGTTCATTTTCATCATCTGAATCAGAGGCCAGTAAAAAGTTGATTTTCTTTGTTGGTGGTTCAGGTTCTGTAGTTTCCGCATCCGAGTGTTGCTCTTTTAAGACTTCCGAAAGCATGCTCCATCCCTTGTCCCTCTCAGATTTTTGGAAGGCTTTTCAGATTCTTAAACCTTAGGTCGAATGCTGTAGCTATCTTTAGAAATCTCACATTGGTACCTTCTTTGCATTTTGTCAAATCTGCTGTGAAAGTGTTCTTTAAATGAACAACATGTGCTGGGTCATCATTCGAGACCGCTATAACATGAAATATATGGCACAATGCAGGTAAAACAGAACAGGAGACATAAAATTCTCCAAGTCGTTCAGTCACAAATTTAATAAATGCATTATTTTTTTAATGAGCATCATCAGCATGGAAGCATTTCCTCTGGAATGGTGGTTGAAGCATGAAGGGGCATATGGATGTTAAGCATATCTGGCACGTAAATACCTTGCAACGCCGGCTACAAAAGTGCCATGTGAACTTCTGTTCTCACTTTCAGGTGACATTGTAAATAAGAAGCAGGCAGAGGTATCTCCCATAAATGTAAACAAACTTGTTTGTCTTAGCGATTGACAGAACAGGAAGTAGGACTGAGTGGACTTGTAGGCTCTAAAGTTTTACATTGTTTTGTTTTTGAGTGCAGTTATTGGGAGAAAAAAAAATCTGTTTGAAAGTTACACTTTCTCGATAAATAGATTGCACTACAGTTCTTGTATGAGGTGAACTAAAATACTATTTCTTTATAATTTTTACAGTGCAAATATTTGTAATAAAAATAATAATAGAAAGTGAGCACTGTACACTTTGTATTCTGTGTTGTAAAAGAAATCAGTATATCTGAAAATGTAGAAAAACATCCAAAATATTTAATACATTTCAATTGGTATTCTATTGTTTAACAATGTGATTAATCGCAATTAATTTTTTTAGTTAATCGCATGAGTTAACTATGATTAATCGACAGCCCTAAGTATTTTAGTTTATAAAGAAATCTGTCCATCAAAGCTTTCAATGCAGCTTCTGGAATGTCTGCCCACAACATGAGGCTAAAATGCACAGTGAATAGTTTTTAAATATACATATTCTATAAAGAAGATGAAATTCTCTTCAGCATATGACAGCCCTGTGAGTTTAGCAAGAGGACAGAAGCTGGAGTGTAGATGTTTTAATGTGAAAAATACAACTTTGGTCCAATGGGATTAGAAAGAAATTCTATTGTGGGCCAGAAGAATTCAGATGATGGCATGGATTTTTGACAGATGGCTAATGCTGGGTGTATGGGAATCATTTTGGGGTGCTACTGTTTGTGACTTCATATCTGGAGGAGATAGGTGTTACCCAAATAATACAAATACCGTGGAATCCAGGATTGGGCCAAGAGACTCTTGCTTACTTTGGCATCTGCTGTACAGGTATGACAAGATGCTGTGGTGATTCTTATGTAGGAACTTTTAGATGCCCCTCAATCGGTTCCAGTTCACATGCTGGGATCAGGAAGCATAGCTGCGTGGGCCTGTTCTGGGTGTTCAGCCAGTCAGGTCACAGCTCTGGCTGTTCCTAGCTATGGCCTGTGGACCGCCCATACTGCAGAGACGCCAAACTGAAGGGGAGGGAAGGCAGAAAACCTCCTGACAACCCCCCTGCAGAATTCTCCCTGAACTGTTTGGGTTGGGGGGCATGTTCTGTGTGGCAGTGGTGCTGCCCCCAAATCCTATGGAACTGAACACCAATAGCCAGGGT